AGTTGTAAACAGTTTCAAATTATTTATATCACAAGAAAAGATTGCCAGACACCAGTTTATTTCCTGCATACCTTCAGATACTACTTTCGGCAACTCCTTGTATTAATGATCTTAAATTCAAATAAATGTTGGGGTGCCATTGGATTGATAAAGACCAAACATTAAAACCGCATTCCTAGCTTACTTGGGAACACTTTTCGTTTCCAGTTATCTTCTACTGTCAGTCATTTAACACTTGAGGTTCATCTGCTGCTTGCAAATTTTATACTGTGTGGCGTAAGGTGAGTAGCTTATATAAATAACTAGGGAATTCCAAATAAAAACCAAAAGAACTGCAAGCATTGGAAATCGGAAACAAAATCAGAAATTGCTGGAAAAGCTCAGCAGGTCTGGCAGCATCTATGGAGAGAAATCAGAAGTTTTTGTGTCAGGTACACTTCTTCAGAACTGATAGTAGCTTGGAAAAAGTTGTTTTTTATGCAGAAGATAAGGTTTGCCAGGAGGGGTGGCGGGTAGCGGTACAGAGTAAACGATAGGTGGAGATAGAGCGTAAAGAGAGATGTACAGTTGGACAAACAAAGGAGTGCATAACGGTCAGCCTAGGAGAATGAATAGCTACCAATAGGCACTATTAGGATGGTCACAGGGTTCTCCACTGCTTCCTGGAAAGAAGGCCTGTCCCGATCCACTACCACCCTCCTCTGCGTGGCCAAGCTCGTCCTCGTCCTGAACAAATTCTCTTTTAAATCCTCTCATTTTCTTCACGTGAAAGGGGATGCCATAGGTACCCATGTGGGCTCCAGTTATGCTTGTCTCTTACCCTCACCCACAACTCTTTTTTTTTTCTCCAGTATATCAATGATAATGTCGGTGCTGCTTCCCTCTCTCGTTTGGAATTGGAAAAGTTTATCAATTTAGCTTCCAGTTTCCACCCCACTGACACCTTCACGTGGTCCATCCTGACTCCCTTCCATTCCTTGACATCTCTGCTCCCATTTTTGGAGACACTGGCCACCAATATCCACGACAAAGTATCTGAATGCCAGAGTTACCTTAACTATATATCCTCACACCTTGCTTCCTGTAATGAATCTATTCCATTTTTTCTTCTGGTTTCTTCGTCTCTGTCACATCTTTTCTGATGATGCAAACTTCAATCAAGCTCCCTCCAAAGTGGCCTCAATAGGTGGAAATAGACCCTAAAGAGAGAGAAGAACCATTGGACAGACAAAGGAGTGGATAGCGGTCAGCCCAGGAGAATGAATAGCAACTAATGGGCACTATTAGTGGCTAACAATGGAATGTATGTGATAGTATATGTGATTAGTGTAAAAACCGTAAGAACTGCGGATGCTGTAAATCAGGAACAAAAACAAATCTGCTGGAGAAGCCCAGCAGGTCTGGCAACATTTGTGAAGGGAAAAACAGAGTTTACATTTCGGGTCTGGTGATCCTTCCTCAGAACCAAGGCTGTCATGGAGTTAGGAGCTGTGTGACCCTGACAAAACCCAAACTGAGTACCAATGAGTAGTAATTCGTTTGCCCAGGCCACTTGAAAGGACAGCAAATGACTTCTTCCATCAGTGCCAATAATTAAGAGTAGGCTGATATAACAATAATAGGCTGGTTGAAATTGATGTGCTTTGTTTGGAATGTCATAGTAATAATTGTCTAATAAATCATTTGCTCATCAAGGATTAATTAACTCCATAGGTTTGTTTCCTTAACATAGTAAATCACATTATAGACAGTAAATGGAGTTCTTAAAGGTGCAGTCTCTTAAAAGCAAGGTACATGAACAATTTTCCACGTTATTGGTAGATGCCAGTGTTACTGTATTGGGGCACCTTGACTAGGGTCGTGACTGGTTTTGGGGCACCAATCTTAAATATTATTGCCAGAATGTTGTCAGAGCCAGTAGTCTTTGGCTTGAGGCACTGGATACTGCATTTCTTGATATCATATGGAATGAATCAAATTTGTTAAAATTTGGCTTCTGTGATGTTGGTAACCCTGGGAGGAGGCTATGATGGATTGTCTTAAGCCAAAATTGCGAATTGGGTGGATGCAAGTTCTTGTCTTCTGTGCTGGGTTCCCCATAATTAAGGATGGAAACATTTTGTGCAGTATTCTCTTGCTGTTAGTTGTTTAATTATCCACCACAATTTGTGACAGGATATAACAGGACAGTAAAGCTTGAATCTAATTTGTTGGCTGTGGAATTGCTTAGCCCTGTTAATTGGCATGGCTGACAATCTCATTGTGTTGAGACACCGCTTTTAGGTACATCTGGTGTCCCTCTTGGCATACCTTCCTGCATTTTTCTGTAGACAAGAATTGATCTGGGGTTTGGTGGCAGTGGATATGCAAATGGAATTTTGACTCAACAATAACTGTTGGTTAGTCACTCCTATTGCAACTGTCATGGATGGATGCATGTATGACAGCTAGGTTGGTCAAAATCAATGTTAAGGAAAATTAAAGTCAAGTGTGTTTTTTTTCATGGTTCTCTGTCCACCTGTTGCAGACCCAATAGAGCAGCTATGTCCTATAGAACTTGGTCAGCTTCAGTCAGTTGTGGTGCATCACACCATTCTTTGTGATGAACATTGAAATCGCCCACCCAGAGCACATTCTGCACCCTTGCTGCCTTCAGTCATTCTGATTTTGTCACTCGTCCTCCGATATTATTCAAGAGAAATTTGCAGGATCATGTAGCTTTGGGTTTTCCATTGTTGTTTCCAGAGTCTAGATCAATGCTGGTACAAATTATTGATCTTATGCTTCTTTCATTTATGTGAATAAATATGAGCTATATCCACATTGAAAGATCAATTTTTAAAAAATGTAAAACCGATATTTGTTTAATTGGTTTTCCTGTCACTGGCCTTTCTCAAGGAGCTACCTCTATGCCAGGAGACATGGGTTCATATCCTACCAGTTCCAGATACACATCATGTCTGAACACGTTTATTTAAAAAAAAAATTACAGCATATATGATCTATAAGAAGTTACATAATATTTGTCAAACCTACCTTTGACGGCACCTCTCTGCCACAGGGAAACGTTGCAGGAGTTCCTCAAGTAACGTCTTAGGATCTACCAACTTCAATTGCTTCATCAACAATGATTTTCTCTCCATAAGATCAGAAGTGGGAATGTTTGCTGCTGATTGTAGTTTTCAGTACCATTTGAGACTCCTCCGATACTGAAGTAGTCCATGTCTAAATGCAGCAAGAGCTGGACATTTATTTAGATTTGGCTAATAAGTGGCAAGTAAAATTTGCATTACACAATGCAAAGCAAAGCAATGATAATTTGTTGCCATATGACCTTGACATTCAGTTGCTTTACTGCTGCTGAATTTCCACTATCAATGGCATTGGGGTACAGTTGTCCAGAAACTTAACTGTACTAGCCAAACCAACACTGCAGGCATTTTGATTTACAGCCTATCCAATCACATCCAACATTTATTCAGACTATGACACGGTGACAGCAGTGTGTGACACCTACAAACTCCCTTATGGCGAGTCGTCAAACAATATCTTTAGAATCTGTGACCTGTACTACCTGAAAGTACAATGTCTTCAGTTTCATGGGGACTCCACTATCCTAACTTGGAACTATATTACCAATCCTTCACTGTTGCTGGATCAAAATGCTGGAGTAGTCTTTTGAACAGCACTGTGATTGTACCATCTTTTCAAAACAGACAGCAGCAGTTCAAGGTGTTGGCTCGCTGCTACCTTCTGATGTGCATTTACTGATGACCAAAAATACTGGTATAGCCCCTAATGTTCCCCTCCCCTCATGCATGAATATGAGAGCCTCAACCTCACGTTTAGAGAGGGATAAGGACAACATGGGGAGCAATGTCATAATAATTCAGAGGCTTAGATTAAGCATCTGGAGTAGGGGTGAGTAGTGTACATCGGTGAGCATTGTATGTCAGTGATCCCTATATCTCAATTGGTGAATTTTTTTTTTTTTTTTTAAATTTTTTTTTTTGGAACATTCATCATCGAGTGTTACTGTAAGTCACAGACCATTGTATCAGACCTATACGATTAACCTAATTTTTAGGTCAAAATCATGAAATTCTTTAAGTAATCCCAATGATAGTCATTGCTAGAGCCACAACATACTTGGCAGAGTGGTCATAACCAGCATCATGGACATCCACAAATGAGCAGTAAATGTATGCCTTGTAACTAATGCCCAAGCTTAAGAAATTTTAACTTATGCCATTATGTGGTATTAGTTTTGTTAGTAACATCAAGCATTTCACTCCCTGACAGTTGAAATGATTTGTCAACTTCAATATTGCATGGAGTTCAACAAAGTAATGCTGCTGTACTTGCCTACTTTGCCTTTATTGGGTGGGATTCTAGTGCAGGAAAACAAGAAGCCAAATTAGAGTATGTTGAGATTGTATAGTGTTTTTTTTTCTGTCCGATGATTGATTGGTGCACCACAACTCAAATGTTAGAATAATGCAGAGAAACATTGTCACTAAGTGCATTGTCAGGCGCAAGACCTCGTGTAAAGCTCAAAACCTGCCACACAAAAGACGTCAGAATGAGAATTATTTTGATTCAGCAGAATCCAGTCATTTGCATGCGCACACGCTGACACACAAGCTAATCTAGCGCAAGCATGTTGGTGAGTTTATTGAGAGTCAAGAATGGTATAATTTGCAGTGATTCTAATATGTTAACACTGCTTTGAAGAAATGAAAAAATAGTTCTGGTTGGTTCATGTTCTTTTCAAAGAGAATTGTGCACTAACTGTACTTATCATTTACTGTATGGCAGAATTTTCTTTCCTAATAAATA